TTAGTTAGTTATTAGCCATCGAAGTCGTAGGTAACGGTCGACGCGGAGATAAATAATTTGTTTACTTGCAGTTAGGGGCGAGCAACAAATTATATACGCCAAGTTCATTTTCGGCAAATAAAAAGAAGCAATTGCGACTCACTTTGCGTATTGTCCTGCCAGTCCAGCCAGAATGTCTCAAGTCCCGCAAGTCCGCCATATGCAATGACCCGAATAGGTAGAACTGCGTTGCCGCCGCTTCCGAATGTCCGCAAGACCCATTAATCGCGATCGCCTGGACCATCAGTGCACTCGAGACGATCGCCCGTCGCTCGATTCGACACTCCCGACACTCGTTCACTCGAGAGATTCATATTCGGCGGATAAAAAGACGCGAGAAACACGGAGCGGTCGCGATCCGCCGTCTCCCCGATCTACGCGCTAGGCGATCCGTCGACTAATTGCGAATACGGCCGAAAGGAGAGGGTTGGGGGGGGAGGTCGGTGCGTTCGTCAAGCGCTCACGCCGCGACCGGCACCGGTTTCATAAATACGAGCGATATTACGCGAAAACAAGTAAACTCGCAATAAATTTCTCGAAAGATGAGTTACATATATATGCAGCTGGGTCGCGAAATAACGCTTTATTTAAAACGGATTAACTCACATTTTCGCATAATATTAAAACACTGCGCGTATGAATATCGTGTTACGCGAGAGCGGCATATCGACTCGCTGATATTAGCCACGAATCACACGATTTGTGTTCCTGGCGTTCCTGCTCATCGCACTCGTCGCCGCTCCGAGAAACACTGTCCGTTTACTCTGTTTACCTATTATTTCGAAGATATCGCGAACGGGACTTGCTTAAGCTACCGTTTATTGGCCGCGTAATGTCGCCCGAGGTTGTTTACGTTTTTTTAGGCTGTTCTTGAAAGAGCCTCGCCTCGCGCGACGCTCGATTCGACACTCCCGACACTCGTTTGCACGCGAAATTCACATCCGGCGGATAAAAAGACGCGAGAAACACGGAGCGGTCACGATACGCCGGCCGTCGCTCGGACCCGTGTGCTACGCGATCGGACTGAATACAGCCGTTAAAAATTAAAGTGAGAGGGGAGGGAAGATACGTTCGTCAAGCGTTCACGCTGCGAGCGGCGCGACGCCGCTTCGCGGGCCTATCAATGATCGCGCGCGACTCCCGAATTCACTTGCGTGTGAAACGGAAATTTTCCAAAATTCACTAACGACGACAGATACGTTACTCCGACGCGAAATTCACTCTCGGCGAGCGAGGAGACGCGGATCGCTTGCGAATAGCCGCAAAAGTATACTGTAAAACGTGAGCAGTAAGCTATTGACCAACCACAGTCGATTATTCTTGAATTATGAAAACTAGTCAATAGCTTACTGCTTACGTTTTACACTGTTGCGGCTATTGTAGACGAGCCATTAAAAAATCCGTTGTGTCTATGCAATAAATCAATTAAATCGCTCGCGTCGCTCGATTCCAACACTTCCGGCTTCTTCGTCTTCTTCTCCCTATATACATATAATAGCACTCGTTTTCAAGACGAAGACGATACCGGCCAGAACACTTTCGGCACTTATTCGCACACAAGCACAAGACTCACGATCGAGGGTGACGAGGGTTTAGAGAACGCGAAAAACGCGGAGCGGACTGAATACACCGACACAGCCCCGAATTCGCAATTCACACTAATACTGACCGCGACTATATGGCAATGGGAAAAATTCGGTGAGTGGGGGAGTAGTGGAGTGGGGAGAGTACGCCGCGGTCGCCGCGTCGAGCGTCGCGCGAGGCAAGGCTCTTCCAAGAAAAGCCTAAAAAAATGTAAACAACCTCGGGCGACATTACGCAGCCAATAAACGGTAGCAGATGGTAGCACTGGTAGCAGAGCGAGTGGAAAATGCGAAAGTTTTAATCGCGGAGCGATACACGCGAATATAATTCATGTAGTTAATGTTTGCAAAATTTGTCCCGGATGGTTTGTGCAAGACGCGGAATAAAAGAAATGAGAGAATCTAATATTAGGCTCACTTAAACAAAATTTATATTAAAAATTTATCGTGCGCCGTCAACTCCACGGCGCGCGTTTATCCTCTGCCTTCCGAAAGAAGACATCGCGAATTAATCTGACTGTGTATCGCGATTCGCGCACCGCGAAGGCCGATTAACGATAAATCCGAAATTGGCCGTAAACGTCCGGACGGCCGATAGCCGATAAAACATCCGCAATATCCGTTCGCGGAAAGGGCGGAACGATCATTGGGATTCATGCAACAGGCTTATTGTGTAAATCAATTTTAAATGGCGGAAACGCGATGTATAAATCGTTTGCGAAACGGTTCGGCGATTTATATGCTCGTACTTTAAATACCGTGCCTCGAAGCGGGCACACATTTATATTCGGCTATAAATTTCCGCGCGATCCACGCCGCGCCACAAATCGACGACGGATTACCGATTTAATCTGAACTCGTGACGCCGTGATCCTCGGCCTGCCGTCGAGGATCCCTCTGCAAGTAATTCTTACCATCGATCTCGCATGGATGACTGAAAAAAGATTAAAGTCACATTCGAATTTGAATAATACATTTATCGATTTATAGGTGTCTTTAAATCGTATAAATACTATAAATACATTAAATTAAAAACTAAATCGCGCCATATAAGGATTAAGGGAAAGGAATAGCGACAAAGTAGCCTTAGGCGCGTGTTTGTCGCACAAAAATCGCGGTCGGGCGCGGTACAAAGGCATAACTCGATCAGCGTTATACGGTGACTTAAATTGCCTTTACGAAACTGAATCTTAGGATCTCGTTAGGCCGAGCTATAAACGTCGATGTTCGTTTCGAGCGGCGGAGAGCCGCTGAGAGCCGCCGCGCTCGTGCTTGTATTAACAAAGTGGGTCAAATTGACATTGTGATTTCGCAAAAGGATTATTAGTTGGCCGCCGGTGATTTTAATGGCTCGAACGTAGGGTTTATGAAACCAGTCGGCGCGCCGGCCGGTTTTTCTCCGCGCTACGCGAAAGCGCGCGCGCGCCTCAAAGTGGAACGAGTTTCCACGCGGCGTGCGCGTGCAGCAACGGTAACGTTTGTCATGTAGTCATGTTTCGCGCACGGGATGGAGCCGAGGGGCGTTAACGAACGAGCCACGCGCGGAACAATGCCGCGCACGATCGACAACACGTGCCGCGTTACCTCGTGTCCTTCCGCGAGAAAGCGAAATTCCAGGTCGATGAAGACGCGTATTTGTTGTCGCACGCACCCACAGAAAAGACTTCTAGATACAATATACTTATTACTCTTCAATCTATCATAAAATAGGATCGAAATAGGGCCAATCATATTTTAGTATTGAAAGAAGAATATTTTAGTCTTAAATAGAGGAATTCTTAAATCTAGAATAAAATAATCTTGATGCTATCCCTCTAATTTTCTTAGAAAGATTTAGATAGCAATTTGTAACAATCTCATAATATTCTTGATTCAACTATAGACAGATCTGAAGGAAATCTTATTAGGCCAGTCAAATTAGACAAAAAAAAGGTTTTTGCTCGAAAGTGATGCGAACTTTTTTATTCCTTTTTAGGCGTGTTGGGGGTGTTTAGAAAAGCTTATTTTTGAGTTGTCGTATCATGAGACCCAGAGCTTTTTGAGGGGGGAAGGGGAAACCAAAATTTTCACGAATCGGAACGAGTCACCGCTCATTTTCTTCGTTTTTTCAAGCCCTACAACTTTCTCAGGAGCGAAAAAGTGCTATCTATTAATCGAAACGAGATAAATGCAAAAAACCGCGAAAATTTGATTTTTTTCTTTTTTCACAGACTAAAACTCGAAAAATATTGATAAAAAATGAATGACTAACCCCTCATTTTGTAGCTTTTTTAAAGCCCTACAATTCATCTTAAGAAGACCCTCAACCTAAAATCAATATTTTTTTAAGAATATTTTTTGTCTCGTTATTAGAAATCCTTTCTGAAAGTGCGGTTCGCAAATTCGTAAGAACGCGTCTTCTATAGAGAACATAACACTTAATTCTAATTCTTTGTAAATGAAAGCAACTTTATAAAATAAATACAAGAGATAAATAAATACAAGAGATAAATAAATATATTAAAGGTATAAAAGTGATATAAAAATCTTGTTTCTTTTTCTTAATATTTTTATACACTACTCGTAAATCTGTTTTCAACTACGCCTTTTCTCTGATTGTGTCTCATGTGTAAACTTTTTGTGTGTCGCAGGCTGGTTCTCGGTAGTCTCCAACAACAGTGGTACCGGAAATGCCAGAGTGTACAGAAGAGTCGGTGCCTTGGTGCGCGCCGGAGTACCGGCATTCCTGCTTGCGAAACCACTGCGGGCTTACACGTTGACGCACTCCAAAATGGGTAAGTAATTTTATCAACATTCTGTTTATATCATAGAATTATTGCAGTATAGGTATGTTAAACTTTAACGTCGCGATGACATAAATTTTTTATCAAATCTCAAAGATGTGAAATGCTTCTTTGATTTAACAATAATTTACAATTTATTTTGATCATTTACATAATTCTTTCTTCGCGTACGCGTTCTGACTTAACCGGAAATTACCCACGTATCTCGCGTCACATCTGGCGCCCGTTTATTGTCCTGACCAACCCAAGTCCGCATTTTCCACGGGCCAACTGATCGCGGCTGCGGTTATCACCCGCTGCGATCTGCCTGTGGAAATGCGGCCCGCTACAAGTTGCACGCCGTGCATTCGCGTAACCAGCTCGTTAACAATGTAGATACTTTCCCGAGACACGAGAAATTTCCTTTGTAATTCTTTGGGAAAGTAGCATTCGGAGATGGCAATTGTGCATAGAATAGGTGAACGGTAAAGTCCAATTCATATTTTTCACTTGCTTAACGGTAACGCAAGGCTGTTGGTTTCGTTTTTCTTCATATCATTATTTAGACGTAAATAAGTCTCACAATTTCACGATACGCGTGTTGCACGCAGGCGTGTAGATCTCGCCTCGCGAATTATTTTCTCGATCTGCAGCGACTGGCCGTGACACGAATGTCAATGTGTCCGTAATGTGTGGCTTTCGCGGCGTACACGTTCGTGCGTTTAAACGCGTACGCGAGGCGACGCTTACGCGCGCCGCGACAAACGCGTAACGTAATAGGCACGCGGCTCGGTGAAAGCCGTCCTCACGGACGCGCGTGCATAAGCGGCCGCGAACGCATATGCACAAGTACGGCTCGCGGCGCAAGCATTATGCCATTACACACGCCGCCGTAACGATTATGGTCACGGCGGAAAAGGAGGATTCTTGCGCGAACGCATCCCTCTCGACTCCTCCTTTCGACAAGATCCGAATAGGTCCCGTAAGTTTGCGGCGCGCGGCGTCGCGTCGACTCGCGTCGGTGTCCGTTATCCGATGTGTTTATTGTCGCTAATTGCTCGCCACCCCGCCTTTTGATTATACCTACGCATCAGCGTAACGGTACACGATCGATTCATATGGAAATTTACTGGTATGTTCCTCGAATGTCAAGATGATATCAAGCAATTGCTAGCTACTCGAGTTATTACGTTAGAAGCGCGTGGAGAATTTTTTTAAGGAGATGTGCCTTTATAAAACTATACACTGTATGAGAAAAAGATTTAAAAATAAAGTTAAAATTTCCGAAGACTATAATACTTCTGTCATGGTGGAAGTTTTAAAATCTAGCAAAATTATAGCACTTTTTAAAAATAATCTTTTATGTATTATATAATTTTAATAATATTTATTTTTAATAACCTTTTTAGAAGAAAAAATTACCTATATACATAATTCTATGATATACATATATTAGTAATTAAAACAAATTAAAAAAATTATTTTCTGATATTTTTATCTAACATTTCAATCTACCGTGTTGGATAATGTATCTGATAATCTTGTTTCTATGAATATACATATATTAACGTTAATGAGCTAATTAGACATTCGCACGTTATTCACTCATCATATGTCGAGTCTATTGTAACGGTAAGATTTATTTTCATCAGCGCCAATAAGTTATAAGCAATCAATGTAATTCTCTTTGAATCTGACGTGATAATTTATTAAACATATGCTCCAATTGCATATATTTAATTGCACATATAAGCCGTTTCTGATTTCTTAGAAAAATTAGTCAGTTAAATCTCAATTGAATTTTGCTAATATTTATATGAAAACAGTACCACACATCAAGATTTGAGTCAATTTCTGTTACAGAGAATGGAAATTTGCGTGCCCACTATACGAAGACGACGGTGCGTGCCGGCGAGGTCTTGCGGCTGACCGCCGTTTTCCAGGACACTCGTCGGGCACCGGTCGCCACCGGCGCCTCCGGAATGGTCCCGGAAGGCAAATGCTCGAGATCGTCGGAGCGGGATCAGTACGCCCAGTGCTTGGACTCTCACGGGCATGAGTTGTTCGCGCCGCTTTCGGCCAGAGGCGAGTTCTACGCGACCTGTCAGAGCGGTAGCCTCGACACCGGCAGCGACGCGGTGCTCTACAGGGTTCACCAGCTCGCCAGAAGGGATCTACCCCTGAGGGTAAATTTGATCGCAAAATCTACGAAAAAAGAAGTAGCTAAATTCAGTCGTATAAGATATGGATAACTAACATTTTTTGCAGCGAGGGCTATAATTTAGCAATGGTATAGCAAAACCTTTTGTTCTTGCTGCAAAAATATAGCTTTCGCTGTAAAAATGTTATCCATATTTTACGACTAGATTTAGCAATAGTATATAGCTACTCTTTTTTTCCGTGTCATGAGATTAATTAACCAAAACGATACGATCCGCGTGTATGATCCTCAGGTACGTCTAGTCGCTGGACCCCTGCCCGTACCGTTGCCGCGAGATTACAGCGGCCTGATGCAGTTGGAGAACGCGACCAGAGGGCCGATAGTTCTCGGGTGCGCGGTACCGCTAATGCCCGAAAGACCCTTACCCAATACCACGGTGCCGGAACTCCTGGAGCTCGTCGCGATCGGTCCAACCGCGCCTCGGGTGAAAAGAGCACGACTCGGATGCCCTTCTGAGGCGAGATTGCTTGCTTCGCCGAAAATGCAGCGATTGCTTTCAGCTTGCAGGTAAGAATCTTAACTGCGTGGAGAAAAGACATTGCTTACATAATGCGATGTATTAATTAAAGTAGACCCCGTATAACACGGAGGGATACATTCAGTGTTGTATGTGTAAATATTAAAATTTTTTGTTATATGAATCTGTGTTATATGGAGGTCTCTTGTACTTAAACTATGCAGTATTAACATAAGTTTCAAAATTAAACTTCTAATAAACGATTATTACAATTGGATAAAACATGACAGAATAAAGACAATATAAAAAGATGATTTTATACAAAGTTAATTAGTTTAAGAAAATATAATAATTCCGTAAACATTTTTTCTTAATAGTCGCTAAAGTTTATATTTCATGAAGAATTAATACAGAGTTGAGTTAATCTATAGTTAATCTAGTTTCTAGCGCTTATATTATTAATCTCAATGTAATAAAAATTTGAGGCATTTGATTTTTAACGTGATTGAGAACATTTTTTTTCATTAATCGTTTTTTTGAGTAATTTATTATATTATGTATGAGATAAGAAGATAAAATGGAAATGATCATGCGTCTTGGTACCGCTTTATAGAAGAGCCTTAGACCAGAGGGCGACCGAACCTCGAGTCGCCCCGCCGAAACCGGCGTCCAACAATAGTCAGCTGAAAGAGCTGCATTTAAAGGAGATTAAAGCGAAGCCCGAGACGAAACCAATACTGCAGAGCTTGAAAGAGGGTCTGGAGCACATCAAGAAGACGACGATCCGCGACCGGAGCAACAGTCGCAGCGCCGGCAATAATCACAGTTTCCTCGACAAGATCTCGAGGATAGCGCAGGGTGGCAAGAGCAGAAACCCGGCGAAGAAATCGGCGTCTTTCACGTTCGCCGTACGACCGGAGATCGGCATGCGATCGCCGGAGAGATATGCCAGTTTGGAATCGGAAACGAATCTGATGCAGGCATCGCATGCGTCGTCCAGGCAACAAGTGCAGCGTTCGATCTCGACGAGCGTCCTCGAGGTGCAGACCAATAGTCCGGACATGGATCCACCGTACTCCAAGGTGAGAGACAGCCTGACGCCGTTGCCTCCCACTCCGCCGCCGAAACCGGAGGAGATCTATGCCGAAATCTGCGAGCCGGGCGGCGGCGGCGGCGGCCATGGCCCATTGCGAGATTTGTCGCAGGATGAAAAATTGCCGCCGGTGGGAGGGAACGGTACCAGGGAGCGAGATCGGGGCTACGTGAAGCTCGCACCGTCCGAGATGTCGGACGTGTCGGCGAGCACCGGCGACGACGAGGAGGGCATTTACAATACTGTGTGCTGAGCGCGCGTTTTCTTCCGTCGGGATAGAACCCAACATCCGCGGGGAATCGTTTGTGATTCGTGGTAACTGACTCCCAGGGTCGACCGGAACAAATGATGTGACGTGTACGGAGTCGAAAGGTCGCGGGAACTCTTCGAGTTGCGGGTATCGATGAACGTTTACAGACGCGAGGAGTATTGGCGTTATTCGTCTCGAGAGGATCGTTTGAAGATCCTTAAAATGTTAAAATGGTCGAGCCCCCCCAGTATTGTCATAAATGTTTTTTTTTTTTAGCGAGAGATACGAGAGAACAAACATACAGTTTTTTATTAATTGAAAATTTTCTCTATTTTTATATGATTATAAGATTAAAAACTAGAGATTAAATAGCCGCCGACTGTTGATCTGCCGTTAAAAGGATAAGGCTACAAGCCGGGGGAGGGGGGGATATTGGAGATAAAAGCGATATATTGATCGCGCATCCGCGAACGAGTTGACGAGGGATTTACGGCTCGGACCACTGTCAAGGAAATTGCTACGCCGACGATTTCTTTTGCCGCGAGAGGACACGAACGCGAACGCGTTCATCACGGGGTATTGCGCGGAATGATTTACAAGGCTGTTGACCGAGGAAAATGATCCCGTAATTACGGGCCCCAGTGCATGCTGCTGCAGCGGATGTAGCGGGGCATGCCGACCGGGGATAGCACGCAGTATCGCTTCTTCGTGGCTTCCGTCATTAGAGAATCTGTCGTCTTGCGAGAGGCGTGTTAATACTAGCGGATTCTTACCGCTATTACCTCGGCCACGGCCGCTGAGCGACATTGGTGTCGGAAAAATGCGCCCGCTCAGAATTAACCCCGCTCGAGCGATATCTGTTGATCTGTTAATCTCACAGATATTGAAAACTGTGAATTTCGATGATCCTACAACAATAAACATGTGGTCAGTAATTTGATCAAATAAACCTCGAAAATCAACTCAGATATTTGCTGTTGAAAATTCTATAATGGTAAATCTAATAATATTTGATAATACAAATTTCTTATCTTTAAAAAGATTTTTTTTTGATCGACAAGAAAACACACGGAAGTGTTTCCTCTTCTGATTTTAATAAGTTTATAAGTTAAAATCTGAAAATCTCAAAATAAGGAACATATATATTTTTTTATATGTACCTCTGTGCATTTTTAAGAGGTCAAACACCTCTCTGAAATAAATCTTTTTTTTTTCTTCCCAGAGCGAATATCGTTGAAACTATGAGAAAATAATAAGATATAAGATATGAAAAATATAAAATAGAAAATTTTTTTTGAAATAAATATGTAATAGTTTTAAGAATACTTTACAATAATGTTTCCAGGTTTTTTAAGAATGTTGTAATTTTTAACATACCTCCACCATTCACTTCTTTTTTGTAAGTCATATTCTGAAATATGTACAAATTGAAAAATAAGTGGTAAGACTTTCATATGCGCATTACTTATCCTACCCGCTCGCTACATCTACACTACATTTTCTCTTCGTACTTTCTCATAATAAGAGATCATTTTATTACTATAGTTATGCAAAATATTAACTATATAACATATCAATATAAAAACAACAATAATAATATTAATATAATGAAACTTAATAGCCATCCGAATTGTAAAGAATTGAATGACAAATATATAACGTTAAAAATAAATCGCGTTTTGAAACGTGTACAGATTGTGGAAAAATAGTCAATTATAATCGTGGTGTGTATTTATTACAAAATCATCTCGTAATAAGTCACAAAGTTTTCGCTTTACTTAAAGTAAACACTTTAAATTGAGATGTGCGGTGTCACGTTCTGTCAAAAGTTAGTTCGTCCGTTTTTGGGTCAAAACATTTAAGTAATTTACCCGGGATTTGGACCAGGTTGTGGGATTAATTTAGTTCGAAGAGAAAACGAATTTGGCAAATCCTGTTGCCACACTGTTTGGCAGCGACAAGAATCAGGAAATTTCTGTTGCCACGCTATTTGGCAGCGACAGTTAAGGATTGTGGAATTAAAGGTTTTTAGTGTAAATTAGTTTAAGAAATAGAATTTAAATCACCTTTATTCAAGGAGACTTTCCTTACAATTTTGGTTTAAGATTCAAATTGCAGTTAAGATCTGTCTTAAGTCAGAATTTTTAAAGACTATTAGCAATGACAACTACTAATTCCCAACAACAACTGACTGTACGATTATTTTTCGCTCTTATTTATACTCAAGTGGCAAGACCCCCCCCCCCGCGCGAGCTTCTCACCACTTCTTTTGTCTTTATGTTTGAAGGAGGAGGAAGGTCTTATCACTAGGTGTAATTTTATCCCTTGTGAACCGCGGCCTGAGAACCGTCTCCCCATCAGAAATCGGATAATTAATCAATATCGATTCTTCGCTCTTAACATTCTTGGCTATTTTTAGATTGAATTTTGCTCGCACGTAACACCTTCCCCCTTAAGTCATACGTGGTACGTTTGTTACCGCGTATGAATTGTTAAAAGAAAAATTGAATTAAAAAAATAAAAGAAAAATTGAATAAAAGAAAAATTGAATCGAAAATTACGTTATTTATTTTAAGTAATAATAAATCATGTTTAATAAAATTTTTTTTTTAATTAGTGTGTAATATGTATTATAAATGTGTTAGCGTTAATATATATAATAAATGCATAAAATAGCTTAAAATAATACGTATAATAATAATATGTAATAGAGTAACATAATATGTAAGCTAAAACTATAATAATGCATATAATAGTGTACATATTTTTTTTTTTTTTTTTTTTTATTTATTCATTTTGAACTTCTATTTCTAAATACACGCGTGTCGCTCGAGCCATCCGGTATTTGTCTATTTGATCAAAGGATTCCATAATACATTCGTTGCACTGCCGGGCTGGTCTTAGGCCTAGGATTACATTACCGCAGTTACCGCAACAGAATCTGACCGACGAGGGGAGTTCGTACCGCGGCGAGCTGAGTGCGTGGTACCCCCTTTTCGCCTCGTATCCGTTGACTTCGGGGATGTCCTCGTCGTCCCCGACTGGCGGCAGCTGTTCTAATTGTAAGTAGCAGGGTACACACAACTTCTCTCGCGGCCAGAAGGAGTTGACCATTATCACCCCCTCCTCTCCTAAAGGCGGGTCGCGAAGACAGCAATTTTCCGAGATGATTTCCATTTGTTCTTCGGAGAGGACTCCGTCGATCGGCCAATGGCAACGGCACTCATTATTTTCCGGCGTTGGTGGTCTCATTCTTGATGTATATAAGTGTGTACTGGTGTTAATTTAACAAATTATTCTAATTTATATATATAA